GAAATCATGATTAATCCTGTCATGATACATTGATTAATGTACTTACATCAAGATAGAATACAAATAGAATAGAATATAAAATGAATAGAATACAAATAGAATACAAAATGACGAGTAAAGGCAAAGAGGTTGTGTTTTGCATTTTTATCATATGTATCCCTTAAGTTTTTCCACTAATTTGTGCCTTCCTTCCCTTAATCTGATTCTGCAGTCCCAGTCTAGAGATTTGCTGACGTCTTTGAGTACTTATATTGAGGTGATGACTGTTATCATCGCACTGATAAATTCAAAAACTGAAGTGAAAAAGTAGCTGAACACGCACAGCGGGTACACACAGCGGCCGATCACAATAGCTGGGGGCTGTTATGGCGCAGATTTAAAACAGCACTATAAATTTAATATATATAAATAAGAAGACATCCTATCTAGTTTTGGGGTTAAGGTCAAACCATTTTTGGTAAAGCTTATAGTTAGAGCTAGATCAACTGACTTATCTATTATGCCTCTTTTTCAATAGTACATACCTGGGTCAGATCGAATCTACCCGTAATAACGGGTTTTATTACTTATGGGTTTCCAAATAAGGTGAGTTGAACCAAAAATGTAACGTTAACAGACTGCATATCATTAATTGGCCAGGAAGTGATGTCACTGGATGAGTCATGAGAGCAACTCCTTCACAAGAATAAAGCCTGTGATTTTTGAAACTGAGGGAAATGGCAACACGCAAACCAACATCGTGGTCTGGAGTGTTTTGTCTTGCCGACTTCACTCTTTTCCGGTGCTCTTCTTTTACCCTGAGTCTGACAGAAAGCCATGGACCGAGCAGCAGGTATACCATCGCTTCGTTGTGCTGTGTTTGTGTTGTATACAAATAATGTGAACATACTTTCTGGCAGTCTTTCTATAATGACCCCACCCACATTGAGGTGATACTTAGTTGTAATGGAAAATGATGGAAACCGGGTAGAGTAGATTTGAGTCGAATCGAGCCAAGTAGGGTGTTGGGGGACTTCCCCTGCTGCACTGAGCATTTCTTCTCCACACTACTCTTTTCACTTTCCGTGTTTTACTTCTAACATAATTTGTGATGTGTCCTTATCTCCTCATGCTTTCTATTTTTCTTATATTTCCCTTCACCCCGTAACCAATCACAGCACATAGCTGCCCCTCTCTGGTTGCATCTTCCTGTTAAAAGGCAGTTCTTCCTTCCTACTTTCGCCAAGTGCACGATATGGAGGTTTCTACATTAGAGTACCTTGAGGAAACTGTTCTTGTGAGTTGATGCCATATAATTTAAATTAAACTGAACTGTATTTAAAAACCGCCAGTTTCTTTTAAGAAAAAATGCAGCGTTCTATTATACAGGACATGTGTTTTTCTGTATTTTTACTTTTTTCTCCAGTAACCTGTGGTTAACATTAGGTAGAAGCAATTTGTCTCACTCATCACTTTCATCATTACTCAACACTTTGTGGTGTCTTGTGTCTATAACCTCAAATGCAAATCTCTCATAAAGTAATAATAAAATGCTAATCATCCTGTTTATTTGGGGATACTGGATGATTAGCATATTCAAAATACAGTGTTAAATAAAACACTATAGTGCAGAAAAGACACCAACAGAAAACATGGATCTTTATTAATACAATGTATAGTTTAACTATAGATATTGTGTTGTGTATTAAAAAGGTTTAGTTTTGACTGGTGTGTGACCTCTTAACTATTACTTGATGGGCTGTTAGGATCTTTGCATTGAGGTGAGTTAAGGTAAGGAAAAAAGGAGCATATTGCCTTGTGCTTCTTCTTGTTTTGCTGTGTTTGTAGAACTAATAAAGCACTAAAAATTGTAATGATTACAACCCCAGTTTTGAAAAGGTTGGGATTCTCTGTAAAGAGTAGATCAAAATAGAATGCAGTGATTTGCACTGAACCATATTTTTTATCCACATAAGAACATGAAAAACATCAAATATTTAAATTTTTACTATTTCATGAAAAATAACAGCTCAAATATAATTTGATGGCAGCAACATGCTTCACAAAAGTTGGGATGCTCTTGATCTTTGGGCCCTTGGGCAACATTGCATTAAAAACAGGGATGATTCTGTCATGCAAATCACTGAAGAAGTCATATGTGAACATGATCCTGAAATTCTGCTGGTGTCTTCTGTGGGCCAAAGCTCATTTAAAATGGACAGAGGAGAGTGGGAAACTGTTTTGTGATCAGATGAATCGAAATTTGAAATTCTCTTGGGAAAACATGGACGCTGCATCCTCTAGGCTAAAGAGGACAGGGACCATCTGGTTTGCAGCACTCAGTTCAAAAGTCTGCAGTTCAAAAGTCTCTGATGCTATGGCGATATAATAGTGAAAAGAACTGGCAGCTTCCACATCTGGAAAGGCATCAATGCTGAACGGTATACAGAGGCTTTAGACAACGTATCCTAAAAGATGACATCTTTTTCTTGGAAGACCTTGCATAACTCAGCAAGACAATGCTAAACTGCATGTTCCATCTATTTTACAACAGCATGACTTTGTAGTAGAAGAGTCCAGATGCTGAACTGGATTGCTTGCGGCCCACTCCTTCCAACAACTAAAAGAAATTGGCAGATCATAAAATGGAAAATATGATAAAGAAGACCCAGGGAATGGGATGACATTGCTCTAAAGGGGGGCAGCCGCTGGTCTCCACAGTTCCGAGACACTTACAGAGTGGTAAAGAGGAGGGGATACTACACAGGTGTAAATGTGGCAGTACTCCAACTTTTGAGACATGTTGCTGCCACCGAATTCAATTCAATACTTTAAAAAGAAAGATTTGATGTGTAAATAAAGTATGTGTTTATGAGATTATTTATTTATTAATTTTTTACATTTTTCACCACATCACAACTTTGCAGAACTGGGATTGTACCTCTTTTTTGTAGGAACTTATCACACAGTATGGACAAGTTATTGATCTAAATTTTAGATTACGTTGCAGGTACACTCAATAAGGCCAACACTGCACTTGATTCTGAACAACTGAATCTGCACTAAAAAAATGATGACATTAAGCCTTGAAGCATTTGAGAAGAACAGAAGAGAAGATGGGGGAACTGGGGCCATAAAAGTGTAGCAATGTGCATAATTCAGTGCACCGTAGAGAGGTTTAAGAATGGAAAACAATAAAAAACAAAACATTATGCAGCAAACAGATAACTAGCCAAGATTCTAAAAACATGCTGTAAATTTCAGAAATTACACACACTCAGGATGATTTTCTTTAGTGGAAATTTACCATATATTCAAAGGCAGTAACTGTGATTAACTGTAGCTCCAGAAGCCAGTCGCATACAGCCAAAACGAATAAATTAATATAAACAGCCTAAATGAAAAGGTCCAACCATTAGGTTGATGCAGCACAAAATTTTCCTGTGAATTCCAAACAGTGTGGCTGAGTTGCACTTCAAGGAAATCCTGGTTGTTCATTTTAGAGGGACCGGGGGTGGGGTGAGGGTGTGGGTCACAGGCAGCAAAGGTTAACACAAATGTGAACCAACACTTATAAAAGACAAAATGCGTTTAAGCACCCACACAAATGTGTAGCTGCCATGCAAGCCTTTGTAACCGTACCACCCACTCCACAGCACCTGCGTGTCTGTGCATGTGTGAGACCTGCAAAAAAAGGTCACTGTTGGTCACAGTCAGGAGTCTCTCATATGGACTGGATCAGCCACCATAGAGGTCAGAGGTCACGTGGGTCAGGGGGTTGAGGTCTCCAAGCCAATCACGGGCCAGTGTGTCTCTGAGGGGCCATCCAATGTGAAGTGAGCAGTGCGTAGATGGGATAAGAGGAGTAGAGAAGATCCCGCGAGCCTCCTTTATGACTCAGCTTCAAACACCCCTCGCCAGTCACAACGTGGTGACTTCAGCCATGCAGTATTTCATCAGGTAGCTGGCACATGAGTGTAACTTAGCAATAGCCTTTATTGGGAATGGAGCTATAACTTGTGCTTGTTGGTTAGAAGAGCAATAAATGGTGACGTCTTTATTTTAAAAACATTGCTGAAACTTTTATGTGCAAAAGATATGGTCTTCGTTTTTGATGAAGGTGGCATATCTCTTCACACATTTTCAATAAAAGCCTCTTTATCATTTATATTTTTGTATTCATTACTTTAGCAGCTACTCTTGACTTGTTATCTGCTTTTTTTCTTTGTGTGCGCTGCTCACTTGTTAGTGTGTCTTTATTTACAGCTGCTTCAGTCTGGCTTTGACTGCTGGTATAATAAAATACCATTCTGTGAGCTTTATTACAACAAATCGGGAACCCCCCTGGCATTTTTCTGCTTTCTTTGGGTCAAAATCGCATTTGCACAATGCCGAGCTACGTTTTTGAAGAGATATAAAGACATCACAGTACAAGTAAGGAGTTTTGGATTTGTCCTTGGCCAGCGAAGGAAACATGATGAGGCAAACTGAGCGATTTCTGTAGACTGACTGTATGAAAATAGCAATAAACTGCAACAGATGAGCAGCATAATTAGATTTTTTTTAGGAGCAGAACATAAAGCGCGTTCAAGTCCTACTAAATCAATTCCCACGCTGAAAATTATTACATAGAAGGGGAGAGAAAGCAGAGGAAGAGAGAGATTTGGGGTTATTTGTCACGACACTTGCTGGGAAGGTTCACGGCAGCTAAGAAAAACAATATTTGTGTTTTTCTGTTTGAGTGTGTGCCTGCGTGTGCTTGTTAATGTGTGTGTGTGTGTGTGTGTGTGGACGCGCACATTTACAGCTCTGCTCTTGGAACCCACGTTACTTTGATTGACAGCTGAGACTTGCCTTTTTCCCCACCGCACTGCCCGCCCTGCGCGCTTCCGAAGTGGCAGCTCCTTGCGACGCGCTGATTGGTCAAAATCTGCGTAGCTCAACGAGGTCAACGGAATCGAGGAACTTCGCAGAGAGACCATTGGCCAGTTTCATAACCCACATTATTGTCCCCACGTGGAGCGGAGACTTTGATTGGTTCGGAGGCGTTTTGTGGGCTGGCCTATAGTTTCGGTTAGCTGGGTGAGCGTGAAACCGCGTGAGAAAGTTGCCATTGAGGTAAAGCAGAGCAAGACCGTGAACAGTTCCCGCCGCTGTGGGAGTTGTTGTTATCAAAATCAACGATATATTTCCTCGTTTTTTATTTTTTGTCTTAAAAACGAGAAATCTATTTTGGAGGCAAGGCTTGCTTCCACACTGATCGAGGAAGTAAATATTTCTGTATTTGTTGACCGTTCAACCGCCAGCCAGCGACTGCGGCGAGTCAAGTGGGAACTCTTCTCTGCAATTAACTTGTGTGGATTTGTTTCTGATGCTCTGACTGAGCGCCGGCAGTTTGCGGCTGTCTGTTGAGGATCTACGGGGTTGATTTTATCTTGTTTGTTTGTTTGGTCGGCCCTCCGTACTCGGAATACATCAGTTCGCACACAAAACAAACGCCGGAGTGGCGAAGGTGGCTCCAGCCCTATTTTTTTTTTTCATTTCTCACCTGGCTCTCCTGCCCTTCTCTTCCCTCCCCCTTCAGCTGCTTTCAACTAATGAGCCGTTTCCCGTGTTTTTCCGGTTGATTTACGGTCGCGCTGCCTGTGGAGCGGAGGACAGACGACCGAGAGACAGGGAGAAGCGGAAATTCACGTTAAACGGTCGGTGAACCCAGACGAAGCGGACAAGCGGTGCTTTTTTGTAATTAACGACCGGGGGTCCTAATAACAACGGCGGATGGATTCCTCTCCGTGATTGGGAGCTTCCCACAACCTTACTTTTCATCCCCATTTGATCCCACTTTGACGGGGTTTTAAGAAAGAAACGGTTTCATCCTCCCGGAGATAACAATGTTTCCCCAGGGGCGACACCCGGTAAGACGCTCTTTGTGCATTAACAGACGCTCATTTCACCGGGCTAACCGGGTAACATTACCTCGTTATATGACCCGCCCCTCCGGGCTGCCTGTGTGTTTATATTAAGCTCAGTCCTCTAACTAATTGGGCTCTACAGTGGGATTGATTATACTGCGTTTTAGCTTTTTGTGTTTTTTTTTTTTTTTAAATAACGACTAATATTTCGAAGTTGTTGATATTGTATTTGTGCTGAAAAGTACCAGATTCATAATGTAACCAATAATGTGTAAGTAATGTACCAGTGTGATGTTGGTAATCCGTCTGTGTGTGTGTGTGTGTGTGTTTGCGCGCGCGCGCACGCGCCAGCCGCCCCACCAGGCTCCAGGCCAGCCCTTCAAGTTCACCATCCCAGAGTCACTGGACCGCATCAAGGAGGAGTTTCAGTTTCTTCAGGCACAGTACCACAGGTGGATAACACAAACACTCAATTCACATTTTCCTCTATTGTCATCTGCCCTCCCAACACTAAACTTCACCCTAACCACAGTCATCCTCATAACCATAATGAACAAAACCTCAACCCTGGCTTCAGACTAACCCATAAACCTGGATTAGGTTCACGTACACATACAAAAGTGCACACATATGCAAGCAGGCATCAGTGTTAGCGCTTGCACTGCGGTAGGTCTACATCTTCTTGATGGGTGAGAGCCAGAGGGGTGGCGTGTGGGCTGAGGGTTTCATAAATCACGCCTTATTTTCCCCTGTGTGTGTAGCTGTGTAGGGAAAAGGCTTGCTTAAGTACTACATGTGAGTGTTTCTTTTTTTCTTTTTGTTTTTTTTTAAACTTTGCTCTAGATGTTGTCAGTGTGGGTCATTCACAACAGGTGAAAGCTAGACCTGCAGACATAATGTTTCTGATTTACATATTCAAAGAAGAGGATTGTCATAAACACATACCCATTATTTGACGGGAACAATCATTGTATTTTCCATTTTTGCACCAATTCTTTTAAAAACATCTCCATGGTCTGTTTTAGAAGGTGTTTAAATCATCAAGCAAGTGGGGTGAGAGAAAGAATGAAAACTGATTAGTTTAACTTGAAATGTTGAGTCCCACTCAAAGTAAATGGTGTATTGTATTTCTTGTTGTTTTTTTTTAAGTCTCAAACTGGAGTGTGAGAAGCTGGCCAGTGAAAAAACAGAGATGCAGAGGCACTACGTCATGGTGAGCTCCCTACACTCAATTCATTTGCCCTGCAGGGTCACACATCACATGCCTGAGTTCTAAAGTTTCCTAGAGGAGAAAGTTGTCCATATCTTATAAAGCAGAATACAAATTCCTATCTGAAGACTCGTAATACAAAATATATGTATTGTTAAATACTAAATGAAGGGAAGAGGAAGAGCAACATGCAAGTGTCACCTGCTTTTACTGCGTAAAGATGCTGTGCTGTTACGACTTTTCATGTTGATTTAAAATGTGTTTCACTGTTTCAGAAAATAAAATATACACGAGAGCTTACTTTTCACCTTAAATCACTGAAGTTTTACCTCTTTTACACAAAGCAATGTGGCTGTGTGTCAAAAGCTTCTAATCTAGCACAGAAACAAACATAACATGGACACGAATGCTGTTCAGTTCAGATTGTTTGCGAGCATGTTGCATTGCCTCATGTTCAAGTTAAAAAGCATTTGACTTGCATGTTTTGACTTTCAAAGTAGTTTGACCTCTTTGTGGAACACTTCATTTAAAAAGATCTGCAAATATCCTCAAAGACATCTACAGTGTAGCTAATTATTGTTTAAGTTATTCAGGCTTTTTCTTTCAGGGGTTTAGGATTTGTTTCACCCCCTCTAACCCTCTCACTCTTTGCCTCCCTCCCCTCCCCCAGTACTATGAGATGTCGTATGGCCTCAACATTGAAATGCACAAACAGGTATGGCTGCTCGTCTACTCTGTCGGTCTTCTTGTTTATCTCTCTTCCTCTCATGGATGGATTTTGATGTATGTGGAGTGTGGGCCTGTTGACGTGTCCTTGCGTGTACACGAGTGCATTTGTGTGTGTGTGTGTGTGTGTGTGTCTCTTTTACTGTATGCTTGTATATGTGTGTGTGGATGTGTGTTTATTTGTGATCGATGGGGCTCTGTCTCCATTTCCCCAGTTAGGGCCGGCCGGCTGAGCCCAGAGGCAGGATGAATGGCTCTGTAGATTGATTGGTGCTGTCTAGGGGAGCGGCCTGCTTTATTACATTAGAGGGGTAGGGCTGGTGAGGGCAGAGGAATCGATCACGGTGAGGCAGACGGAGGAGATACAGTGGAGCTCTCCCTTTTTTGAAGTTGGGAGGTTAACACAGTAACATGAAGCGCACAATAACAAGGGCAATTACCCAATCAGTGTACATGCACATGCAGAAAGGCAAGGGCACTTTGCATAGCTCTAAGTAATGTATGCAAAAACGCGACGATAGTGACAGTTTCAGTTCACAGACGGTAGAGTGAACACAAGCACAGAACTTGTTGATGCATATACATATGTACACAGACAATGAAAGTTAAAAATTTTCTTTTAAGTGTGTAGACATGTGGATGATGAGCAGGGGAAAAACTCACCCTCTCGCTACACACAAACACACATTTCCCCACAGGAGTGGTGCAGGGCTCAGAGCGTTTACCAGTAATTACCACAGCTATCGACCAGTCAGACCAGAGGAAATTGGAGGTGGATTGGCTGGATGCTTCAGTGAAGAGTGGGGATACTTCTCTGCCTCTCTCACACTCCTTCCCCTTCCTTCTCCTCTTGTGTTATTCTCCCTTTTTATACCCCAAGTCCTCTTCTTTTCTTTCTGCCTTCCTCTGCTCTCCAATAACAGTTATGGGATCTCTTCTTCCTTTTTGCTACAAACCACCCCCCACCCCAAATTCCCCCTTCTTTGGCTCCTCTTTCATTTTATGTCCATGTGAAGCTACTGCTCTTTCATTGTAAGGGAGATGCATCTCTTCCTATTGTCCACACACACACATAAACACACAGTTACACTCACTAAAGCTCCAGGGGAGGTCATTAGCTTGGGACTGCAGTTGTCAGAGCAACAAGCTTCTGTGGGTGGGTGGGGGTATGGAGGATATAGACTAACAACTCACCTCCTGCTGAGGATGTACGTTTGTGGGGGGTGCATAATGCTCCAATTATATGTGTAATGGGAAGCTGCTTCTCTGTTCGCACATTTTCTGTGTATGCTTGCATCTTTTCTCTGCATCCTCAACTTCTGTTCACCCACTGTCTCAGTTATGAGTCATTGTTCGATTCATTCACTATATAGAAATGTTAATTTAAGGGTTTGGATGCATGGGCTGTGAGTTTTTGTGGATTTTGTTACTTTTTTATGCTTGACATTAGACATGTCTCAATGTTGGGGGAGAGGCGTAGTAGAGTAACAACAGATCATATTGTGTAAAATCACAAAGCAAGCAAAGAAAGCTTTGATTAGCAGTTATGAGCTTAGTGTAGCTGGTTGGGTCTAAATGTAAGCATATACAAGAGAACTGGTCGAGCTGGACACTAACATTTGCTTATTGGGTGGATATTCAGCTTTCAGTTTTGACATTTAGGTTTAGTAATATATCACAGTCACATTGCTTTTTCCTTTAGTGCACACAACAATACTTTATTTCCCTTCCTTTGTACCACCTATAAAAGGCTGGGCACCAAGTAGAGGAAAAAGAAACATGTTTTGTTGCTTCTAACTTGATCATTTTCATCATAAATATTGCCAAAAATCACAAAACAGTCTTCGTCCCGCCACTGATAGAAGTCTAGTTTGTTTTCTGGAGATTATTGCTAAAGTTCAAATGAATGACAGAGTACTCCATCTTCATTCTGCTCTCTCAGGACATTTGCATAACATAATTTGATTGGTTAGCACCTGAGCTGCTGCCTGAAAACTTTTTGCAGCTTTTCCCCACAAGCAAATATAATTCAGTTAGATAACATATAACGTTACCCTGTTCAAAGTGAGTGAGAGGAGAAACTTTTGAGGCCAACACCATGAACTTGTAAGTCTTGGCTGCAGCCTGGGAAATTTGAGCATTTGACTTTGTCTCTCGACTTAGGTTTGCTGGGTTGCCCTAGTATCTGGTCACACTATTCTCAGGCAGCCTAATGATTGACCCTGTATACAAAGCTAATTATAGGCTTACAACTCATAATTCTGAGAATGGATATACATAGTATGCCAAAAATAGCTTTTCATTTCAAGATTTCTTGGTATGGAATGACTTGGTTATTTTTGACGCACTTTGGCAGTACAGGAAAGTCTGAAACTTTAAAACTAGACAGAATACAGGTTTTTAAGATCCCCCTTTCTTATTTGTCGAAAGTGTGCTGTAGCCATCAGGTGCACATACACAGACAGCAATGTTAAAACTGTGGCAAGGCTGCTGAGCTCATGTAGTTATGACACGGAGGTATGCGTACTCTGAAGGCTTAACATGTCTTTTGATTCTGGATAAAGAGTCAGTTGTTCGGTGTTTAGTTTTCTCAGAGGGAAGCTGTTCCATATATACTTACGTCTATTTGTTCTGACTTTGCTTACTTTTACGTGGAGTATTTATTCAACCACCTTATTTAAATTTGTCTGGGGAGTATCATTTGTTGACTTGTCAAGATGTATGTTGTGTTACTTTATAAATATATTCATAATTTTTATAAATATAACTGAAAGTACTATTATTTTTGAAGCAGTTATGTGTGTAGTTCAAGACTCATTGTGAAAACGGTAGCACTTGATTTAGCTCATCCAAGTACATAATTGGCTGAACTGTGGCTGTTTGGCGAGCTGACAGGTGTGTGCGTGACAGAGACATCTAATTGAGCGCAAGTATGCTCCAGCTAAAGAGGACGTCTCCACTTCAGTTTTTCAGGAGCTGTCAGACCCATTAAAATCATTAAATAATTTACAGCAGCAACGCCATGGTTTTAAAGTTTTAGAGATGGCAGTGCCTGTCAGCCTTTGGACTTTGGCCCAGGCTGAAATATCTTAGCGACTAGTGGAAGGACTGAGATGAAGTTTTAACAGACAGTCATGCTTCCAAAACGGTCGTGCTGTGATGTACCTTCATCGGGTAATAAAACTCTATAACATATTGTATATTGATGTCTCCTTCAAACAGTTGCTGATGTCTGGGAACTTACCATGCCATTAGCTAGGTGTGTAACGTTACTAACACTCCCCTTTACCTAATGAGCGATCCTCAAACTTGTAAAAGAAACATACACCATGCTTTAATATGTTTATTGGCTGTCTCCCTTTTAGACTCTTTGTTTGACAAGACCATCTTCCTTTTTGTGCGGCCAGTTCATGCCAGTGATTGAAGAGCAAGTTTCCCAGTGGGATTTCCCATGACTCAATCAGGGTTTCCATCTGAAGGGACATTCATGTACATCTACATTTGTAGAACAGCCAACAGGAGCTCCTTTATTCTTAAAAATATAAGCGTTTTCCCAAAGTCTTCCTCTCTGCATTTTTTCACAGTTTTAAAACAGCCAAGAGAACATGCAGAAGTCAGGTTTCCTCTCGGACCATTTTGATTACACTTTACTCATAGATTAGTCTTGAATTTTTGCTCGGTGACAGCTTAAAAAAGGTTTTGCCTATGTTAGCTTTACCATTACTCTCTGGATGATCTGTAATAGCTTTAATCCCCTAATTTTGTGGTCATTTCTTCACATTTCTAATTTGTAAACAATAGCAGACTGTTTAATTAATTATATGTAGATGGGAGATTAGGGCAATGAATTCTTGAACAGTTACTTGTTTGCTATTACTGTAAAGTGGGTTAACAGGACATATAACAGTTGCATAGCAAGGGAAGTCATTTTTGGGTTAGTTAAACCCACACAGGTGGTTGCTTTGTGCTGTGGGATATTACATTTCTTTCTAGCTTGATGACTTAATTTTGGCTGAGTTTTGAAAAGTTTCCATAAAACCATTTGTTGTTTCGGTGACGACAACCATCGCATTTTAGCTGAGTATTCACCCAACAATAATACAGGGTGATATGATGCATGTTTCTATGTATCTATATATTTATGTGTGTGTCGTCTGAGCCATTACTACCTTTCATGGTCCCCAATTCCCACTTCACTCTGGTCGTCCTCGTATCAATTTGATTGGATGATATGTAATATGAGTCCCCTTATCTGATTTGATGCCACCACGGGGGTATCTGGTTTCAGCCAATTGTAACCACCTCCGGGGGTTTAAGGGGCAGGCGGATGTGTTGGCATGGATACCGAGGGAGAGCAAACCAAGTTAGTAGTTGATGAGATTATGTTGAAGTGCTGATGGGAAGAGGGACAAGAACACAGAGGACAGGTGGAGAGGGAGCGAAAGAAATAGAACGGGTAAGAGAGAAACCTGAGCTGAGCCCACAATTATAATTAGAGAGGAAAATCTCATTACACTGTGTGTGCTGAAAATGGCACACACTGGATTTCTGTGTGGAGAGAAGTCGATGAGTGTCATTGGTATCATTGTCTGGTAGGGTTTTTTTTTTGGGGGGGGGGTATTTTGCTTGCTTGCTGTGGTGGCAGCACTTTCTTGTGTGTGTGTGTGTGTGTGTGTGTGTGTGTGCACGTTTATTGCTTTATTGGTGTTACTGAACAGATGTCTTTTCTAAATGAATGTAATTATGTTATCAACAATTAAGTCTCTTTCTATCTGTGTGTGTCTCTTACTTCATCAGACTGAGATTGCCAAGAGACTAAACACCATCTGTGCACAAGTCATTCCCTTCCTCTCACAGGAGGTAAGTATGTGTGACTTAGAGCTACAGACTGTGCTTTGTATCCCATTTATACACTCTAATTTTACTGGTAAATCTGCCATTACTCTCAGGCTTTGGCAAACGTTTGTGCATCTTTGTTTTACAGCATCAGCAGCAGGTGGTTCAGGCTGTGGAGCGAGCCAAACAGGTGACCATGGCAGAGCTCAATGCTGTCATCGGGGTACGTGGACTGCCCGGTCTTCCACCTACAGTGTGTATTCCTTTAATTTCTCTTTGCATTAACTATCGCAGTGTGTGTGTGTGTGTGTGTGTTTACTCCATAGGAAATATTTCTTTCCCTACACAAACAAGTTTGGAACACAGTTTGATTTTGCTCTGGTAATAAAATTATTTCAGTTCTCAGGTTGTTGTTGGCTACCACAGTAATCTTCTTTGTTTGTTCTTGTTGTTCTTTGTGTGTAATTAACATAGTAAGTATAACTAGTGTTAGTCGCTGCCTAGGGGGCAACCATAATAAGGACATGGACATTAGTATAGCAAATTACCTAATACATTGCATATGCACCATTTAATGATTAACATAGAAGCCACATTTTCCACAGTCTTGTTGTGTCATCAAAGGTCTGTGTTCTATTTGAAGAAACAATTTGTACTGTTTACATAGTAAAAATGGATTGTAAATACACATCTTACTGTTTACTCAAACACAAATGGGTCAAAGTCAAACACAAGGTAAAAGTCCTTATTTTCGTCACCTGTCTTGTCTTTTTTTTTTTTTCCTCTCTTCTCATTTCAGTTAAAACCCTGAGAACTGCTACCAAATCATAACAGATATCTATATAAAGTTTTAGGAATATGCCTGAGACTGTGGTTTTTATTTATTTATTTATTTATTTTAAATGAGATTCCTTATTCCTTTGTCACCAGACTTAACTTAAGGATATAAGCCAACACTGGACTTAGACTGTAGAATTAGATGTAGGGCATATGAGTGATTTTTATGGGAAATGAAAGAAAATTAACCCTTGTGCAAATATGTTTTCTCTTTTGAGACTATGGTTTTGATTTTGATTGATAGAACTGGACTCTTTCGTTATGAGTAAGTTGACAAAGAGGATATGCTTCAGGAATTATGAAAGGTGTTTATTGAAAAGATGTTGACAGACTTGGAAGACTGATGGGGCATGACCAGCTATTCATACTTAAGTAGAAAATGATTTGGCACACTAAGAGTAAAAAGTAGTTTTTTTCCTTGAGGTTTGACAGTGATGCTCAACGTAAAACGGAGATGGAGAGTCTAGCTGTTGGTGGTGATGACTCTTTGGGTGGGATTAGAGAACCATTATTACTCGGACTTATAGGAGCCATAGGGGCTTGACTGGCTGGAGGAGACGCTATGGGTTTTGGTTCAAGGGGAATGTGGGAAAGAGGAGGGGTCTGGAGAGGGCTTGGTGTGATGTGGGGTGGGCTTGTTAGTTGGCGTGAACTGATGGGGGTCTCTGTTAGTGTCTGATTGGTGTGAGAGGTGGATTTGGCAGTTGCTGTTTGAGTCTTAATTGCAGGATTTTTGTGTTTGTAAAAGGGGGGGTCACAGCGTTGCCCTTAC